CCCCCCCCCCCTTTTCTTGAGTCAGGACTATGTAGTCCTGACTGTCCTGGAGCTCACTATGCAGACTAGGCTGGCTTCAAACTTCACAGAGATCCACCTGCCTCTGCCTTTCAGGTGCTAAGATTAACACATGCATCACCACACCAGCTAGACCTGCAATCCATAGGTGTGTAAGAGCAGTAAAGAGCAGCCACTGGGACAATCATTCTTGAAACAGGAAGGTGGGGCCCAGACAGTTTGGCAGCAGAGACCCTGCAGTCATGAGGCCCAGTCCTGGCTGTGTAGCTCTTGTTCCCTGGGTGTGTTGTGTGGCTAGAGTTTGGTTTCTGTCACTGGAAGCAAGAAACCTTCTGAATAGTACTTAAGTATAAATAACCCCACATTGAGAATGTAAAACTTTGAGGTCAGTGGAACCAGTTCAGGGCCTCCCAGCTTCCCCGTCAGCTCCGCATAGCTCTGCTGTTGCGTGCTCCTTTAAAATATATTTGTGTTATACTTATTCCAAAACTGAAAAAAAAATTCCTCCTTTATTTTTATTTAATAGGTATAAATGTTTGCCTATATGTATGTGTATATTCCATGTGTGAACTTCTGCAGACGGAAGACGGTATAGATCCCCTGGAACTAGAGTTACAAGCAGTTGTGAGCCACCTAGGAATTAATCCCAGATCCTCTGGAAGAGCAGCCAGTGCCCTGGACTGCTGAGCTATTGCTCTAGCCCCCTGTATTAGTCATGGAGAGAAACAGAACATCAGAACATACATACATACATACATACATACATACATACATGTTTTGGCTCTAAGCACATGTGCATACATGTGTACCTGCATACGTACAATATACACAAAGTCTATATATTCAAATGTCCACTTAGGGTACTTTGTGTATGGCCTAGAGATAGAATACTGGCTCCTGTGTGTGTGTGTGTGTGTGTGTGTGTGTGTATGTGTGTGTATACATGATTTATTAGAATGGCTTACAGGCTGTGGTCCAGCTAGTCCAACAATGGCTGTCACACTCAGGAGAGGCTCTGTGAGTTTGAAGCCAGCCTGATCTACACAACCAGTTCCAGAAACTTTAATCTTTTTTTTTCTACGTTTTTCGAGATAGGGTTTCTCTGTGTAGCCCTGGCTGTCCTCACTTTGTAGACCAGGCTGGCCTCGAACTCAGAAATCCACCTGCCTCTGCCTCCCAAGTGCTGGGATTAAAGGCGTGCGCCACCACTGCCCGGCCAGAAACTTTAATCTTAGACTATATTCACTTAAAGAAATGAAATAAAATAGAAGTGAGAGGTTTTTAAAAAATCACTATTAAGAGCCCGGCATGGGGGGCACACCTGTGTCAGGAGACTGAAGCATCAAGACTGTAAGTGTAGCCTGGGATATGTCGTGAGCTCAAGCTGAGACTAGTGCTACTAGCTACAATCCTAACTGTTCAAGAGGCTAAGTCAGGAGGCTAACAAGGTCAATACCAGCTAGCTTAGTGGGAGCCTGTTTCAAGATGAACAGGAAAAAAAGGACATGGGGCAGGTGTGGTGGGGGGAGGCGACTCTGGTGAAAAGCACTTGCTCTTACAGAGGACCCGGACTTGGCTCCCAGCACCCGCCTGGTAGTTTACAACCATCTGTGACTCCAGTTGCAGGAGATTAACACCACCTTCCAACCTCTGCAGGCAGCAGTTACCAGGTGTCAAAGTGCTACAAGCCCGGGGATGTAGCTCAGTGGTAGAACACCCATGTAGTCTGCTGCCCAGCCGTAGCTTCAATCCCCAGTACAAAACAAAATTCTACTGACAGCTTACATTTATCCCTGAGATGGGGCCTGTTGTTGAGATTCTGAGATTCAGTGTGTAAAGGTGCTCTGACCCCCTCATGGGTCTTAGGGAAGCAGGATTCTCTGACCTATCCATTGCTTCTCCCTGGGGAAGGGAGTGGTACCTATTTCCTCCCTGTAGTCAGAGCCAGGCAGCACAAGAATCTGTTGTTTAGGTCTCTGTTTGCCGCCAGATTTCCCAACCTGATTTTGTCTGTCTCTACGTGTTTCTGGGGTGGTGCTCAGTTCTGGCCAAGGCTCCTAGCCACCTCCTACTTCTGGTCTGGATTTTTCTGGCACCTACTGTGGCCCTGCAGTCTGACAGGCTGAAACCCAGCCCTGATTCATCCTTGGCTATGGTGGCTTCCAGCTGAGCCACCTTAGGTAGGTGGCTCTGGCACACCTGTACCAGGCTTTACCTCAGGCAACAACAGACAATGTGACAATACCAAACTATGTCAACAAACAAGGATGTATCTGAGAGTTAGCTCCAAATAAACTTCCTGCCAAAAAGCTGGTTTAATCTTTCACACAGCCACCAAGTCCACTTCCGTGACCACCACCTTGGCAAAGGCATCCTCATTATTGCCTGGAACACAGCAGCAGCCATCTCACCAGATCCCTGTTCCCCTCCCCCTCCCCCTCCCCCTCCCCCTCCCCCCTCCTTGCACGTAGCCAGCAGGGCTCTGTGAGAACTCAAGTCCCACCTATCCTGTGTCTATTCAGGACGCTTAGGGATCCCAACTCACTACAAAAGCCAAATTTATTTCATTGTCAGAGGCAAGCACCTGCTGTCCCCACACTGGCTTCCTCAGCAGGCCTTCTCAGGCTCCTCATGGCCTTTCATTGGTTGTCCTCTGTATCTCACATACCCCTTCCCACCCCCACCCCCCACCTGGGCCCCAGATCTCCACACAGTTCCCTCCCTCATCTCCTTTAAGTGCTTCCTCACATCACATCTCACTTTCTTGGCAAGGCTCTGGCCACTGTAGAAAACACTTCCCCCAACTCTAATCCCCCCTTTCTCCTTCTTTTGCTTTATCACCCCCCCCCCCCAGCACATACTGCCTGGAACAATCTAATCTTCTGTCTTATTTGTCTCCCTCACGTCAACTCTGTGAAGGTGCGGCTCTTTGTCTTTTGGACTGTGCTGAAGCTGAATGCCTGGAAGAGCATCTGGCACCTCTCAGGTACCTGCTCAGTACTGGCGGAACGCCCATTAGGTGGGGGAGGTGGGAAGGACGTGATCCTCATCCATTCCTCCTCTGAGAAAGCTGCAGCTCTGGGTCATTCCTGGAGGCCACACCCGGGGGTGGGGGGGAGGGCTGGTCTGTGGACTTACACAAGGCCAGGCTGCCTGCTTATGGCTGCCTCCAGTGTTTGGTATGGGGCCCTGCATCTTTGTTCTTGACCAAATGCCTAGACAGCTGGGGCCCAAGACAGCAGGTCACCTTCTAAGACCTCACTACTCAGAAAGCAGAGGGCTCAGAGTTCTCACCACCTCCTTCTTCTCTCTCCTGCTCCTTTTCTGGACAGTTCTGGGATTAAGTTAGGAGCACCGTACATAATAAGTCCTCTACCACTCATCTATTTTCGCAGTTCATATATATTTTTCTTTTGTTCTTATTTGATATGCATGAGTGTTTTGCCTGTGCATATGCCTGTGTATTACATGTATACTGTGCCTGTGGAGGCCAGGAGAGGGCATCAAATCCCTGGAACTGAAGTTATAGATGGTTGTGAGCTGCCATGTGGGTGCTGGGAATTGAACCTGGGTCCTCTGGGAAGAGCAGCCACTCCTCTTAACCAATGAGCTATCTCTCCAATCACCCCCTACTCACTCCTTGTGTTTTGGGGATAGGGTTTCACTATGTAGCCCAGGCTGGCCTTGAACTAGAGGTCTAACTACTTCTGCCTCCCAAGTTCTGAGATATGTACTAAGCTAAGCTCCTCCTCCCTCTCATGCTTTCTGTCCAGGCTCACTGGGTCACATTCAGTTTCCCAGCATGATCCAAGCACTGCATACAAGTTGTCTCACTCTTCTTCCCAACCAGAACTTGTGGTAGGAACATCCTATTTCACAGATGGAGACATTGAGACAATAAGTCTCTGCCTGTCTTGAGCCATATCTCCCACAGGGCTGCCCCATCCCACCCAAAGTGCATCCCTGCTTCAGGGATCTCTATGTTCTTCCTCTGTGGACACACTACCCCTAAAGCCACTCCCTCCAGTGCTGGCTCCTCCTCTGTCTCTCTGCACTCCTACCCTGGCTCCAGTAATGTGGGGATCTCCTTGGTGCTGTTCACCAGGGACCCTTCCATTCCAAGGACTTCCTTCTATATGAAGGACTCCATTCCAAGTCAGTGTGAAGTCATATAATGGGGAAAGCATGGTCTAGGGAAATTCTATCTGTTGTTGTTGCTGCTGCTGCTGCTGCTGCTGTTATTCAGAATCAGGAATATTGTGGACAAAGGATGGAGCTGCTGGATGAAGCTGATACAATATGCCTCTGTTTCTGTGCCTGGTGGGCTCCCACACTGGTGTGCACTGACCCTGACTCTGCGTGGAATTTGGGGACTTGAAATAGGGCAGAGAAAGTCAGGGAGGCCCTGCTCCACCCAGACCACATTTCCGAGCCCCAGGATACATACTCTGGAAATCCAGCTGCAGGGACAGGACATCTTTGAAGAGGATGCCCTCCTGCTTGGCTAGCTGCCCAGCCTCCTCCTGGGGCCCTTGCTCCCCAACAGCTGCCTTGAGCATGTTATCGTCCATTACTTTTGGCTCCATCGAGTCATACGGCCGGCTCATCTTCGCTGAGAAATCAGGTTCCTCCTTCACATACAGAACAGAATTTAGCTGTGTTTGACATGGTGTCGTGGCCTGCCAGGAGGCCACAGGCTCTTCACTCCCATCCCCTGCCTGCTGTACCTTGAGGCAAATGCACTGCTGGAAGGCTAGCCTGGACCTTCCCAGCAGCCACCTGAGCCCTCATCAGGGTTCACCGTTTGACTTCACAGCCACAGCTGGTCTCTACATGGGTCCACAGGGCTGGTGCCCACAGTGGTTTCCTTAGTCTGTGGTTCTCAAATCCCCTCAAGGCTAGTCTCTGACCTTCTGTTTTCTGTCTTTACCTAAGTCTCTTGGTACAAATCAATGACAGTGATCTTTGGACGTGCCAGACCCCGTGACCCTTCTGAGAGTACCTCATCCCCAGGGAGACAGTCATGCATGGAGGAGACACTGACCCAAGGTGGCCATTCATGTTCTCCCTTGAGAAATGGGAACCTTGGGGTCTCAGACTGAGAGTGACCATATGAGCTGGCTGCTTGATTGGGGAGGACTTATGTAGCTAGTGCTCGCTAGGCACATGGTTAGGTAGAGAGCAGGACAAAGATAAGGACAAACACGTACAGCCTGTGTTTCCTTGCTGGCTTCCTTAAGTCCAGCCCTGTACACGTTTGTGTCCCTTTCTGTAATTTTGGATTTCTTACATCAGTTTCTCTGTTACTTAAAGCTAAATCAGGTTCAGTTGCTAACAGCCCAAAGGGATCTGCTGAGGCACTGTGGTGAAGGCAGGGTCTGTGTGTTGGGTTAGTTGTACTTGACTGCCATGCTTGGCTGGGTAGATCGCAACCCCAGAGGACTAGATGCTCAGACCTCATTGTGATCATTTCCAACCCCAGAAAGACAGGGCCATATGTTCCCCTGAGTCCTCTGGAATTCTGCCTTGTGAAGACTCTGGGAGTCCACCCTGCTCTCTGCTCCCACTTGCTTCTCATCTCCCTTCTGACCTCTGACCTTTGACCACTGGTCTCCCTGGACCTCTGGTCCTCCTCATCTTGATTCCAGGTGCCCCTTTCCCTCTGCCTTTTATTCTACAGGGCTGGAACAACTCCCAAGACTGCTCTGCTATGAATCCTGACAATCTGTCTTCCCTCTAAGAGTGCCCCTCTCTTCCCTCTGGTACCATCCATTTGAATGCAGCATATATAAGTGTTCATTTCTATTCCTCCACTATCCCTGATCAAAAATTCTGATGTCAATAACTCTCACCTGCTCTTCCCTTCCATCCCCCACCCCATGTTGTAGGGCCAGTTCCTCTGAATTAAAATGTTCCTTCCAAGAGAGAGAGAGAGTGACTCATAGGATGCAGGAAGCTCACAAAGTTACAACACTAGGAGGTTGCTGAAGAGTTGATATAAGGCCACACATGGTGGTGCATGCCTTTAATCGGAGCACCTGGGAGGGGCAGAGGCAGGAAGAGCTCTGAGAGTTTTAGGCCAGCTTAGTCTATATAGTGAGTTCCAGGATAGCCAAGGCTATGTAGAGAGACCCTGTATCAAACCAAACCAAATCAACCACACAAAGAAAAATGAACCAGACAACAACAGAGATTATATATGAGGAGTAAACAATTTCTGAGGAAGAAGAGTATCTTTGATAAGAGAGGCCTGTAAGTTAGGCTCAGAGCTCTAGGACTAAGCTGTCATGGTTCCTGCTCTTTTTCCATCTGTGCCCTGATCCTTCAAAACTCCAGCCTTGTTTTCCTACTCTCTCCCATATAACTCTTCCTCTTCAGGTTGACTGACTGACTAACTCTTCCTCTTCAAGATAACTGACTGGCCGACTGACTGACAGACTCTTCCTTTTCAGGATGAATGACTGACTCTTCCTCCTCAGGGTGACTGAGTGACTGACTGACTGACTGACTGACCCTTCCTTCTCAGGGTGACTGGCTGACTGACTGACTCTTCCTCCTCAGGGTGATCAACTGACAGACTCAATCTCCCAAGGCAGTCCTTCTGCTCATCACTTTCCTATTTTAACTAAACAGTTTCCCTTAAAGTTTCTCATAATTTACCACCAACCTCAAAATTTACCTCTGGGGAAAATTTTTTTAAAAGTGTTTTAGTTGTCAGATGTTATCTGAAAAGTGCATGGAACTTTTTTTTTTAAGGTGTTGTGCTTTGGGAAATGACTCAATTCCGGTGTCAAAACTTTGATCTCTGTTTCATCAAAGCCCATTAACTGTGACAGGTCAAGCTAGCTTTCAGTCAAGCAAGCTAGCTTTCAGTCAAGCAAGCTAGCTTTCAGTCAAGCAAGCTAGCTTTCAGTCAAGCAAGCTAGCTTCCAGTCAAGCTCAGCAGGTTCCATGCAGTGTAAGATTGGTGCAAGAACTATGCTAAATGTTCACACCCAGAGAGGACTTTGACTCTGATTGTGTATCTTTTGAAAAGTAACTTCACCAGCTTAAGTCTTTTTCCTATGAGGTAGATAACTCCCCACTCCTACCTCTGTCTAAGTAAGAGCTTGCCTTTAGTCCACATATCCTTAACTACCACATGCTGTGAGCCTTGGACAGGTCTTCTGTTTCAGAGTTGAATTAAATTGTCATACCAATATTTACTTACAAACAAGTTAGTAGGTGTGGGGAACAGTGAAAGCACAGAGTAGGGACAGTTGGCTTGGCAGGGCAGATACAATATGAGGGATAAAAAGAAAAGAAAGCAGAAAGAGGCGATAACACAGTGAGGACCCCAAGCTGGAAAGCAGAAGTGATGCAGGGATATAGGGCCTGCATTGCATTTGTATTCCATGATGGCTGGCAAGCTCCTAGGGCTTGTTAGGCAGAGATGGATCAGATTTTAGTTTTTTTTAGAAGCTCATTATAGCTGTTGTGGCAACAATTACAAAAGGAGTGAGCCAGGAGTGGTGGTGTACGCCTTTAGTCCTAGCACTTGGGAGGCAGATGCAAGCATATGCCAGTCTCTATGACTTTGTGGCCAGCCTGGTCTACATAGTATGTTCCAGGCTAGCTAGAGCTACACAGAGAGACCCTGTATCAAAAAAAAAAAAGAAAAGAAAAAAGAAAAAAAGAAAAAAGAAAGAGAAGGAAGGAAGGAAGGAAGGAAGGAAGGAAGGAAGGAAGGAAGGAGAGTAAGTGACCAGACCATAGTGGCTGTAACACAGTGGTCTGGGACATCACTAGGAACTTAGTTTCTATGTAGGACTGATCATTCTGAGACAGAATCTAGTTTAGAAGGCTATGCCTAAGCTAAAGTGATTGATTGACCCGATAATAGTGTTCAAAAGAGAAGCGGTAGGAGAGTTTAATAGAAGTGGAAGCTGAAATCAATTGCCCTCCAGAAGAACTTTGCTAGGAGAGTTGAAAGGTTCATGGCCACAGACAGCCATGAGGAGCCCTGAGGTGGGACAGCACTAAAGGAGATGGTATCATGATCGAGGCAGCCACGAGGCACCCAGAAGGGAAAGACAAACCTTCCAGTTCCATTAGCTCCCTCAGATGCAGAGAACAAAGGATGTTTCTGACCCATACAGTTTTGGGGGCATTGGGGAGCAGTGGTAGCTTTTAGTTCTATACCATGTGAACTGGCCTGATCTAGACTATATGTCTCCTGGCATGGTGGCAGGCTTAGAGAGTAAAGTTGCGATTGAAGTTTGTCTTGGCCCAGGTATCAAGGGGATCAGGGTTTGCTCACATCTGTAAGGAGGGAAAGAGAGAACTTTGTGAGGGATACAAGGTCAGAACGGCTCTCTATAACCAGCCTTGACGAAGAATACTGAAGAGGCATGGCCTGACTTCTGAACCGCACTTGAACTAAATAAATTATCCCAATATTTACTTACAAACACTGACAAGTTGGTGGGTGTATGGACTATGAAAGCACACAGTAGGAATCTTTGTAACAGAAAGACTTTTCTAGATTGACTAATATGAAGATTTACCAAGAGGCATGACCTCTTGTCTAACGTAGAATCCACTTTCTTACTCACAACTCTATTGTAACCAGCATACTAGGAACAGACATTGTCACATGTTCCCCACCCTCAGGACAAGGCCCAAAGAATCCTTCCCTATGGGGGGGAGATCAATTATTTATCCAAATGGGGGTCCGGTTGACCTGCCTGATGATAGTGTCCTTGGTGAAAACAAGAAGTAGGATGTGGAGAAGCAGCACAAAGCTTTAAAAACAAATCAACCAGGTAGCCTTTTCACGGTTTTTCCTGAGAAACAACAGCCTGGGTCAGCCGGACTGGAAACACTGTATAGACCCTATGGGTCTGAAAATAATGAGAATAAAAATAACTGATGAGAACAAGTCCTTGTCTTACTCTCAGTACACAAAACTTATTTAATTACATGTCAGCTCTGGGAGCTATTTAAAAGGGACATCTTAGTGTCCCTACTTCCCAGATAGAGAAACAGGCTTGAGGGGTTGGGGGGAATGTGTCCAAAGTCATAGAGTAAATTACTACAGAGACTGAGATGGAACCTTAATATCTATATTCTCATCCCAAACACTTCATACAGCACCAAATGAAATAACTTATTGCAGATCAAGAGAATGGATATAATAGCCAAATTCTAGAAGGAGTTATCAGTGGATGGGGTACCTCTCTTTTAATGAATCAGATCAGGCCAGGAAACTGGCTGATGGACCTTCTTCCTACTTGCTTTTGCTGTAGCAATTTTCTTTTTCAAAAGCCTATTAAGTCTCAGTACAAGTGTAAAATGACATGTGTGCTCATTTTACAGATGAGAAGGACCACGTTGGAGTCCTCACAGAAGAGTTACAAGAGAGATTTCAGTCATGTAACCTCTGATCATGGAATCATTTTGGAGCCTAAGCTCTTCCATCTTACCTTCCTAAGGACTCTGCTCACAGTAGACGCTTCGCTTGGTTGCTGGGGAACCAAGCACCACCACTTGGTTGCTAAGGGGAAGTCAGGCAATAAATATCCTGGGTGAAAGTTGATTTGTCACGTAACCACATTTCTGGGTGGGGAAACGTTTCTAACACCAACCAGACTTGAAGAAAACAAACGTTTCTCCAATCAGCACAGTCAAAGTGCTTCAACTTCTAGTTACGCTTTCTTTCTGCCCGCCTATTTACATGAATGACACATCTTTTATCCAATAATAGTAAAGATTCTCTGGACTGACCAACGTGCTAATGAATCAAAAAGAACAGCCACTCCACTGGAGGCGGGTCCGGGGGTTGTGCCGCTACGGCTGACGGAGACACCAGTGACTTAGCTTGCCTCGTGTCCAATCGGACGCCGCGGGGTGGGTGGGACTTCACTGAGAATGGAGTGTCGTCCAATCGGAGGTGGGCTGGTTAGACGCTACCCAATAGAGATGCACCCAGAGGGCGAGGTCAGGCCGGCGCTCGGCGTTCCCGAGGGTGGGGCGGGGGCAAGTGTCAGTCAGGGCAGAACACGGCGCGGGCAGCGGAGACCCGTGGCACACAGGCGTCCGGGCTGGAACGAGGCCCGCCGAGATGGAGTTCCTGCTGGGGAATCCGTTCAGCACCCCTGTAGGGCAGTGTCTTGGTAAGGCCGCGCGTGGGGCAGGCGTCGAGTGAGCCACAGCGGCTGACCGGGCTGGTGAGGTCTGCGGGCCTCCTCCCGGCACTGATAACACCTCACGTGCGGGTTGGGCCTCTGCCAATAAGTGGTGTCATCTCAAAGGTGGACTGGGTATCCTTGTCACGAGGCCTCTGTCTGACGCTGGTGCCACCTCACCCTACAAGGAGGCTCCCCTGTGGTGCAGATTGGACTTAGAGAGGCTCCCTGCATCCTTACCCATAGGGCCCAGCCTTTCAAGTCTCTCCCCAGAAGTAGTGTCCATGCTAGTCTGCTTACCCTCGTGTATTGGGAGATGTCCCTGGGAGTACTCTTTTCCAGGCATCTCGCTACATCTGCTCCCAGGGCCTCTGTCTCCCAGAGCCTTTGTGGAATGTAACTCCTTCCATCCTTGTCCCTGTTCATCGGTACCAATGGCTCTGAGGCTGGGCACTTGCCCAGAAAATGGCCCATGCTGCACGACTTCTAATTTGAGCTGCAACTTAGCCAGGCTGTAGGAGGGACAGAGAAGAGGGAGGCACTCGGGAAAGTGACTGGCTTGGCAGGGGAATGGCATGGCCCCAGATTCTTCTAGGCCTCCCAGGAAAGGAGGCAGGCAGCGCTGCTTTTTGATAAGCATTCCACTGGAACCCGGAAACTTGGACTCCAGTAGTGACTTTGCCAGGGACTCTCCTCTTGACCTTGTGCTCTTTATGTTTTGAAGTTCTCTTGTCTGCCACACGAGATATTTGATAAGATGTGGTGGCTCTCTTCAAGTTCTAAAGTTTTAAATCTTCCTTATTGATATTAAGTGTCTCCTTCCATTAACTCTTGTTCTCCCACTATAGTTAAATGGTAGTAGAGTAGTCGGAGCATCTGTCAATAGTATAAGGAGTTAGAGATGGGCAGCATGCTGCATAAGGAACAGCACAGGCAAAGGTACAATCATGTAGCCACTGTGAAGTTTCCTTACCGAAAAAGCCACTTGCAGACCGGGGACTGGTTCTGTGGTAGAGCATTAGCTCTACACAAAATCCTAGATTTGATCTCTGGCACTGCAAGTAATAAATAATAAAGCAATTTGGCCTTTCACCCAAGGCTTATGCCAACAGATCAGTCAAAAGTGCTGACTAGCTTAAAAACCAAACCAAACCAAACCAAACCAAACCAAAACTGTGTCTTGGGGCTGAAGAACTGGCTCACCGGTTAAAGGCGGTGGCTGTTGATCCAGATTCAAGTCCCGGCACCTGCATAGTGGCTCACAACTGGGTTGTAACTTAAGTTCCAGGGAATTGGTTGCCCTCTTCTGGCATCTTTTATATACATGGCAGGTAAATGGTGCACAGACAGGCAAACAAAATGCCCACATACGTATCATTTTTAAAAATTAAAGTTGGGTCTGCAGGTTGATTGAACTCATCTTTTATGAACTGGGATCTGTACTATTCTTATGGGTCTGACTAGTTCATGCAGTAGAGACTTGCTTATTTTCTACTTTGTATATGAATTTACAGCCTACTTTTCTGTTGTTAGAGAGGCCTGTGAACTTACTGAAGCTTCTTCTGTTGGTTAATTGGCATTTAGGAGCATTCTGTTCCTTTTTGATAAAGTGTCTTTATAAGTGATCATGAATACTGGAACCTGAAAGTCTTTTCCCACTTCTATAACACTTTGTTCTCTGATGTTCACTCAAGTATCTCTCTTTCTCTGTATATGTGTGTGCATGTAGATATTTCAATTTTATCTGTTTATATATAAACATATATATATGTGTGTGTGTGTGTATATGTAAATATTTCAATTTTATGTGTTTGTTTTGCCTTCATGTATGTCTATACACCACTTGCATTCCTTGTGCACACAGAGGCCAGAAGAGGGTGTTAACCCTGGAACTGGCGTTACAGACAGCTGTGAGCTGCCATGTGGGTGCTGAGAGTCAAACCTGGGTCGTCTAGGAGAGCACCAGTGCTCTTAACCACTGGGTCATCTCTCCAGCCTCCCCTCTCTTTTTGAAAAGATTTTATTTTATTTATGTATGTGTGTGCATGTGTCTGTGGGAGTATGTAGACATGTGTATAGGGTCTGTGTGGAAGAAGAGGACGGCATTGAGTCCCATGGAGCAGAGTTATAGGCATTTGTGATCTGGCTGATATGGGTGCTGGGATCCAAACCTGAGCTCTCGTGATTGGGCAGCAAGTGCTCTTCATCACCGAGTCATCTCTGCAGCCCTGACTGTGTTTCCCACTCTCCTTTCTTCTTACTCAGTTCCCTTTCCGTTTGCCCTCATCTTCAAGGGTCCTCTCACTGCAGTCCAAACTCACTTCTCAACCCAGTGTTGAGCTCAAGCCAGGGAACTTGAGGGTAGGAGGGTTAGGGGAAGGAAGCTGGGGCGTATGAAGGGCAGAATGTAGAAAGAAGGGCTGTAGGGCCATTTGAATGGATGTAAATAAGTAAATGTGTTAGATGTGACCTGAGTCAAATGGCCTTGGCTATGGAACCTCAGAAGGTTGTGTTGACCTTCCAAGCCGGAGGGTGACTGGCTGCTGAGCAAAAGGAGAGAAGGGTGGGGAGAGGCTTGTGTTCAGAGTGCTTGCTTTGAAGGGCTCATGTCTGCTAGTACTTGGTCTCTTAGCTGGAACATTGTAGAGACTCAGTAAGTTGGTCCATCTTTCTGTTCACAGCGGAACAGTTAAGTCAGGGTTGGTTTTTTTTTTCTATCAGAAGAGGCTATGTGTTCTGACTGGTTTATGATCTTTGAAGGAAAGTACCCTCCCCTTAGATCCACTATTGCTTATAAAGGGCATTTGAAGGGGTGGTTAAGTTTTTACATATTTATTTATTTTATGTATATGAGTGCTCTATCTGCATGTACATGTAGACCTGCATGGCAGAAGAGGGCATCAGATCCCATTACAGATGGTTGTGAGCCACCATGTGGTTGCTGGGAATTGAACTCAGGACCTCTGGAAGAGCAGTCAGTGCTCTTAACTGCTGAGCCATCTCTCCAGACTTAGGTGGTTTTTATTATGAGCATTTGTTCCTCTTGCAGAGGTCACAAGTTCAGTTCCCAGTATCCACATGGCAGCTCACAACCATCTATAACTGGAGTCACAGGGGATTTGACACTCTTTTTTAGCCTTTGTGGTATGTACATGATGCATATGCATACATACAGGTAAGCACACACAAAATAAATAGTAAGAAAAAGAAATTTGATCGTGAAGATAATCAAGAGACCCTGTTGGTAGGCAGTTACTAGTCAGCAGTGAGGCCTTAGTCATTTTAGTCTAGAAAATTGATAAATTGACAGATGGAAATTTTAATAGATGTTCTGTAGGATTGTGGCAAAGAGTAAAGGTGATTTTTGGTATTGTAATTTTTCAAAAGTATGTACTTATTCTGGGAATGGTGGTGAATATAGTAATCCCAGGAGGAGATGGAGCCGGTAGGAGCATGAGTTCAAAGCCAGCCTCAGCTACATTGAGAGTTTGAGGTTGTCATAGGTTATATGAGACCCTATTCCAAGAAACCATTATCAGCAACAAATGGTATGCTCTGGGCATGGGGAAAGAGTATACAGAAATAGCAACCACAAGACTAATACTTAAAACAGTGGCTGAGGGAGTGAAGAGATGTTTCATCAGTTAAAAACACTGGCTGCCCTTCCTGAAAACCCAGGTTTGATTTCCAGCACCCGCATGACAGCTCACAACCATTTGTTAACTCCAGTCTCCAGAACTCTGAGACTCTTCTGGCTTTGTGGACTGCATCAAGTATGCATGTGACACACAGACATATGTGTAGGCAAACCACCCATACACATAAAAATAATAAGTAGATAAAATTCGAAAAAAAATGTAATAGCAGCTACAGGGCTGGGGAGATAGCTCAGAAGTCAACAGCAGCAACTGCTCTTGTAAATGACCCAGGATCAGCTGCCAGTGGCCATGTGGTGGCTCACAATTGCCTATGACTCTAATTCCAGGGGCCCCAACATCCTTTTCTGATCTCCATGGGCTCCTACATGCTTGTTGTACACATACATGCACTCAGAGACGCATACACATGCACATAAAATAAAAATAAGTAGATATTTAAGTCAGTAGCTAAAAGTAGTTCTCCAAGGATCATTTGCTCCATCTAGCTGTTTTGTGACTGGTTGTCCTTCCCACTTTAGAGATGAGGAAACTGTGGTTCTGAGAAGAGAAACGACTGTTTCACCAGTAGGTTCGAGAGCCAGGATCTTTGGACTTGGGATTTAGGGCTTTGGGAGAAAACACAGAGCTGCCTGGGCTGGTGACGAGAGGTAGGCATTTGATGTCAGAAGAGAGTAAAGGAAGGGGCAGGTATGTCATCTAAGGTACTCTGCAGGCCAAGAGGAGGGTCTGGTGAGGAGAGAGGTGGCTGCGGGGAATGAGGTAGGTAAGGTTCAATGACAAGATGAAGCCCTACTTTGGGTGGGCAATATTGAAGATGACTTTTTTTTCTGTGCTAGGATTTGAAGCCAGTGCTAAATGTAGATTTCACTAATTGGCTTCAACTTTTTTTTTTTTTAAGATTTATTTATTTTCTGTGTGTGAGTACACTGCCTTCAGTCACACCGGAAGAGGGCATCAGATCTCATTATAAATGGTTGGGAGCCACCATATGGTTGCTGGGAATTGAACTCAGGACCTCTGGAAGTACTCTTAACCACTGAGCCACCTCTCTAGCCCTGCCTTCAACTTTTAGTTTCTAGACTTTATTTTCTCATCCATAAAGTACTTATTAGCTGCACATACCTTGTACCTTGTGTCTTGGTCTTCTGAATACCTGTAAAGTCCTAGGCCTTGGGAATACAGATATTTGTGGAGTTATGCTTGGACCCAGGTCATGAGTGGTAGGCAAGTGTGGGTATTCAGATATTTAAAAGCTACCATCAAGGAGCCTTTAGGAGAGAAAACATCCTTACTAAACATCTCCTGGGCTGGAGTGTCTGACGAGGAAAT